TGCGCCAACTATGGCAGGCAAAACTGCCCCAAATACACAACAAGTTGAAAACTCATTAAGGGGGATTTGTTTTTGTTTGCCATTGTCGATGATGGCAGATGATAAGTGTGTGTTTAAGACCGTGTATGTGTGTGTGTAAGTGTGTGCGGGGGTGTTTTGATTGACGTGCGTATGTGTGTGTGCGCTGCAGCGGAAGTTGTGGCAAATGTCGTTGCCAACTAATTAAGCGCGACTACAAAACAAACCAAAGTGCTCATGCACTCATACCTCGATATATTTAAGTATTAGAAATGAGTAATTTTACATAACGATATAATTATCGACATCGATCAACCGATTATCGACAAGCACTCGTCATAATTAAGCTTCAATCTCAGCCTAATGTAAGCAAAAGCCCAAGTGCTGCGTACCCCACCTAAACATACTCACACAAGATATTGCTGCATGCATGTGTGAGTGCGTGTGTTTATGGAATATGTGAATGTGTGAAAAAGCCGGCGAGTTATTAAAGAGAGCGCTTCAGCGTTGGCGTCTGTGTCAATGCCGCTAGCTGAGCAATTTTAATGAAGCCAATAAAAAAATAGTAGCCAAGCTAAAAGACAACAAGCCAGGGTTCGAACCTGAAACAGCTATCAGTAAGACGCAAACGCACACACACACACACATATGCACACATGTCAGTGGACAACATTGTGCGGGGGTTGACATATAGACCACATAACGAGTTGACATACCGCCGATGACGTCATGCAAATAAAATGAAATTGGCAGCAGCTAAAACAAAAGCAACACCTGAGCACAGGAAATGCAAGAAAAAAATCGAATGAAAAAAATGAAAAACGTATGGCAACACTCGTCTGCCTTAAAGTGCTCTTGCGGCAGCTAGTAGAAATGTTAAGTGGCAAAAGCCAAAGGAAAAAAACAGAAAAGGTAACGGCATCGACTCGGCAGATTAGCCGCAAAGGCTTGACGATTTGTAATTGCAATGCGGCAGTGGAATTTTTATGGCTGTTCCTGTTGCAAGCGCGCAGCAGAAGCCACAAACGCACACACTCACATACACATACACACGAATATGCAGGCAGCAACACGCACACATTTTATTTTGGGCGCACACACACACACATCGATACACAATGCGCACAGACGCCTGCGACATTTAAATGCGTACAACAGGGAATAAAACACACGTACACATACAGCTGCATCGTTGCGCATCATGTACAGATATTTTCTCCTACTTATGTGTGCTCAAGTGTGTGCACTTGAAGTTTTCGGCAAGGCTATTTTAAAATCGCCACATACACGCGCTACTCTCTGAATTTTTTTGCCGTTGAACTTTCTTTTCTGCTGACGCTACTTCTAGATTTTGCCATGCACACACTCAAGATGGAGCAGGCAAAAAACATAACGCAGAGAAAGAGCCGCCGCGGCCGCAACATTCACCAACACACACACGTACACTCATGTATTTGTCTATTCACTTGGATAAAGGTTTTGCCACTCTTTCACTTTACTGGACAATTAGACACTCACCTATTTAATTGTAATTTATATAGTCTCTGTTTTAAATTAAACCGCTCTTTTTATTATTCCAACGTTATTAATGACAAAGGAAATCCAAATTCTATGACGAACCGTCTTCACGTAGTGTTATCGACTACTCTAGTGTTGTGTAACTACATTTGTGCTTAGTATTTGACAAAATACACGCGCAAATGTTATGCTCATAATGGCACTGTTACGAGCTGGCGTCATATCGGGCCCTCGATTAATCGACGCTGTTAACCACTCAACTCAGTATCGATCGCAGTTTTATTTAAAATTTTAAAACAGTTTGCCGGGCCACGCCCATTGTGTATACAATATAAATTGGTAAACAAATTTACAACACATTTTCTCTTAACACTAATAAATGCAACAGTTACAACATATTTGAACATTAAATGCTCACAAATGCACTAAATCTCTCACAGAAAAATGTGTGAATGCCAAATTGGTAGCATTCCAAATTTTTCTACATGCGAAAAACTCCAAATTTGGTTTCTTGTACGGAATTATTTAGAGCAGCCTTCAAGCTTAAGCCCAGCACTTGCCTTGTATTTGCCGGATCAATGATGCCATCGTCCCACAATCGTGCAGTGCTATAATAAGGCGAACCTTCCCTTTCGAACATTTCCACAATTGGAGTTTTGAGCTTCTGCGCTTCCTCCTCGCTAAACTCCTTGCCCGCCCGCTTGCGCTGATCCTCGGTGATCTGGGCCAGCACATTGGCCGCCTGTGTGCCGCCCATGACAGAGATGCGAGAATTGGGCCACATATAGAGGAATCGCGGCGAATAGGCTCTGCCACACATGCCATAGTTGCCAGCGCCATAGGAGCCGCCAATGATCACCGTCAACTTGGGCACATTCGCACAGGCAACGGCGGTGACCATCTTGGCGCCATTCTTGGCAATGCCATTAGCCTCGGCATCGCGACCCACCATGAAGCCTAGCATTAGGTAGAGATCGCATTAGGTAATTTGTTCACTTAGATATGATGCACTTGCTCACCTGTTATATTTTGTAGAAAGATCAATGGAATCTTACGCTGCGCGCACAGCTGGATGAAATGTGCGCCTTTCAGAGCGCTCTCCGAAAAGAGCACACCATTGTTGCCCACAATGCCCACAGTGTTCCCGTAGAGCTTGGCAAAGCCGCACACCAAAGTCTCGCCATAGAGTTTCTTGAACTCCGTGAAGCGACTGCCGTCCACAATTCTAGCAATGACATCACGCACATCGAAGCTCTTCGTTAGATTGGGCCCAACTATACCATAGAGTTCCGTTGGATCGTACAGCGGCTCCTCCACTGCTGCAGTTGCTGGCGCAGCTGATCCGAAGTTCCTCTTACTGGAATGCTGCAGTTGCTCATTGTAGGCGTTCGTTGCATCCAGATTTAGATTGCTAACGATTTGCCGGGCCAGATACAGAGCGTGCTCATCGTCCACCGCATAATGATCCGTGACACCGGAAGTCTTGCAATGCAAATCAGCTCCACCCAAATCCTCGGCAGACACCTCCTCGCCGGTGGCCGCCTTGACCAGCGGCGGGCCAGCCAGAAAGATGGTGCCCTGTTTTTTCACAATGATGCTCTCATCCGCCATGGCTGGCACATAAGCTCCGCCAGCCGTGCAGCTGCCCATGACAACGGCAATCTGCGGTATGCCCTGCGCCGACATGTTCGCCTGATTGTAGAAGATGCGTCCGAAGTGCAGCTTATCGGGAAATACTTCTGCCTGACGTGGCAAATTTGCACCACCGGAGTCCACCAAGTAGATGCAGGGCAGACGATTCTCTTGTGCTATTTCCTGTGCACGTAAATGCTTTTTCACTGTAATCGGGTAATAGCTGCCGCCCTTGACGGTGGCATCATTGGCCACCACAACGCATTCAGTACTATAGATGAGAGCAAGAGGGAGTTAATCAATTACTTTAAAGAGTCTAAAGTCGGAGACCTACCCGCACACCCTGCCCACACCTGTCACAATGCCACCTGCATTGACCACCTCCTCGCCATACAGCTCATGGCCAGCCAAGGTGCTCAGCTCTAGGAAAGGCGAGCCCTTGTCCAGCAACAGGTTAATGCGCTCCCTGGCTAGCAGCTTGCCACGCGAGGTGTGACGCTCGATGGCCTTTGGTCCGCCACCTGTTAACACCTGACTCGTTAGTTGGCGCAGCTCTGCCACCAACTTGCGCATCTCACTAGCATTTTCCTAATATATATAAAGAATTCGATGAACATATAGTTGAATTATGCTTTCTATATTTACCTTAAACTCGACTGATTGCTTATCAATTTCGCTGCTCAGCACGTTCGCTTCGCCCAGGTGCAACAGGCGCGTTTGGCTGCGCAACAGTTGGTTGGTCAGGGAATATCGCAGAATTTGAGTTAGTGGCAGTTTTAGCATTTTTTGGGCTTTTCTTTTTTCAAGTAAAATTAATATTTGAACTTTGTCGAGTTTAAAGATCACAGCAGATGCAAAAACGCTGTTACGTCAGGTGTTGCGGCGTGTGTAAACAAAATCTGGTCACACTGCATGGTACGATCAGCTGTCAAAGTTTGTTCAAGCGCCATCTATGGAGAAGCACTCGGCAGCTATTATTATGCTTTTTAGATGGCAAATATATACCAAACTTTAAAATACAAGAAGAGTATTTTTTCAGCACCAAAGCATAAAAATGTTCTTTGAGGTAAAATACCAAACTTGCGAATTTTTTCGTTTATTTCTTTAGCGCCAAATTTTAATAGCTTCAGCCGCTTAGCAAACTATTTTTAACAAATTAATATCCACAAAATATATATTTTTTATCAGAAAACTGTAAATACACTTTTAAACTTAAGCTGTTTATAATTTAATATTACACAATAAATTTATGCTTTGGTAAATTTTTATTAGATATTAAATATTTTCGAATTGAACGTGTGACTGATTAACGGTATTATCTTTTAGACTACAATTAGGAAAACGACATACATAAACATTAATAGATGGTATATAGATATACATATACATAAATAGTTTTGCTATGCTAAAAGGTTCTGCGAACAATGTTAAATGTGATTGTGCACGGCGTTCTAATATCTATCAGATACGTACATGTAGAAATATAGATATATCTATATATATGTATATAGGATAGATCTGTTAAGCATAGTTAGTGGTATAATAATAGTTTAAATAGTTAACGCTGATAAACCATCACAAAAACATAAACATTGGCTTACTTAATTTATTAACTACTCAAATTTGTTATTTCGTAAACTATATTTAGATAATTTAGACACTGTAGGGTTTTTTGTGTTTCTCTTTCGTTTTTAAAGCATTCCAAAAAATTGTACTAGAAAAATATAACACATGTTTGGGCCATCGTCTGTTTCTAGCTCTATAATTCTATTTCATTTAATTTGTAATTTTCTTTTATTTTTTTTAATTTGTAAATTTTTTTTATATTAATTTTTTTTTATGGGTTGGCTTACTTAATTTTAATTTTGTGTAGCTTCAATTTAAAGCCCAGCACCTCGCTTAGCACACCCGATAGGGCAGATAGGATGACCACCTTGATGGTTGTGAACAGATATGGATTGGCACTGAGACCAGAGATCTTGAATGGCGTTTCGAGCTCCTTTAGCAGATCGGCGGCTAATTTTAGTACACTATTTGAGACCATTAACTCCTCCTTCTTCTTGGGTTTTTGTTCGATTTGCAAATACAAATTGATTTGCTCAGTTATCAATACCGAAACGCTGCGATATTTATGCTGAATCTTTTGGCCAAGCGTCATGAAGCGCAACAAATAGATGCCAATCGTAATGGACCAAATGAGCGCCTCCAACGTTAGATGTGTGTGCAAATTAACCGAATCCTTTAGCCACTCCACGCTCAGAAAGGCCAACAGCAGCAGTGTGACTATAAATGCGGCCGATACAATAATATCCACCGAACGCTGCGGACCGCGTTTCTAGACAATCCAAAAGATATGCATATAGAGGTAAGACTTAATTGAATTGAAGGTATTTGATATGCACCTACCTTCAAGTAGGAGCGCACGCTCAACCAGGTTTTAATATTGCGCACTTTGTTGAGGCGAAAGTGCGGCAAATTTGATTTGCGAGCACGTCGCGAGGAAGTCAGGTGTGAAAACAGCTTGGCATACAGAAAGCTAAAAAGAAAACAGAATAAGAGAACGCATATAATAAATTGAATACGCTTGAAATTACCGTTGCTTAAAAGTGCGCTCGGCCACTGCAAATATCATAAACAATATCAGCGTCAGGCAGAGGCGTTGCACAAAGCCCAGCGCCAGCACAGTGCGCTCCCATTGCTCCTCACCAAAGGCAAAGCCGAAGAGTGTAAAGAAGGAAGACGACGACTTCTTCCACAACAATAGTGGTATATAGAAATAGCTTATATCATTCGCCTTATCCGCATCAATTGTGATCTGAGAAAGAGATTGAATATAGACAGAGTAGGGGAAAGCTGTTGGCCTCGTCCCGTACCTCGCATAGCCTACAAAATGTGGGTATTAACGTCAGCAGGAACGAGAAAAAGACGCCTATGTAAATATAGTCATTGGTCACGCCCAGCGAATCGACGCGTTCGATAATGCACGATGCGATTTCCAGGACAGACATTTGAGCCTTCTTAGCATCGCGCTGATCCCAAATGGTGCAGCTGACTGAAAGAATATATAATAATAATAATAATTACTATTATTATTGATACAATCATGAAGTTTATTCTGGCCAACTCACTGCGATCCAGACTGCTGTGTGGATTGAGTATGGTCGTCGGTGTTATATCCAGCTCTGGCAACTCCTCATCACTGCAGGCCTGATGCTTGAAGCCGCCATCGGATTGATCCAGCTCGGATGTATAGCTACAATCTTCGCTGTTTGTGGTCACGCCCAGCCAATCGGTGGCCGATGTATTGCACTCTTGTGTGCCAGCCGAGGCTGGACTTGAGATAATATCCGCGTCGTCACATTCATCCGACTCGGCACAGCTGCTCGTGGATTCATGAGTGATTTTATCATTTGAATCGCTTGTCGCATTGTTGTTGCTATTGCTGCAGCTGCTCACATTGAGACGCAGTCGGAGATGATTCGACGGCGCTGTGATGACATTTGATGGGCTTGCTCCACTGGGAGCAGAACTATTTACATTGGGCGAATGATTGTTATCCTCGCCGCTGGAGCTTTTATTGTTCAAGCTCTCGAAGCCGTCGTCTTCGCCAATGCTGCGATTTGTGGGTCGATAATTGGGCTCCAGGCGTGCACCACTCGGTGCTGGGCCACTGCTCCTGTTGAGCTCAATGCTGGACGAGGGCAACTCATTCTGATCGAATGTCGCATAGATCTGGATGGGCGTATGCCAATTGACATTGCGCTTCTTCTGGGGACTGTCGGTAGCTTCGGCGTTTGCCACCTGTCTGAGATCGTAGAGCGGCTCGTTTAGCGTGGTGCTATCCGCTGCAGCTGCAGCTGCTTGATGATTCTGGTGATGTTGATGCAGTATGGTTATGGCAGTTGTGGTAGGGAAGGTCTCCTCGCTAGGAACTGGATTGCATGAGCAGGGCTTCAAATCGGGGCTGGCTTCGGTGCTGAGGGGCGGCAATTTCGAACGTCGCGTGCTCAATGCATGATTACTATTTGACTGTGAATTGTCCGACTCGGCCTGACGCAAGCTGTGAGTAATAAATTATAAGTTCAGATTTATTATGATTATATGTAAACAGTTATTATTTTCACTTGCCGCACAAACTTCTTGCGTCGCCTCACGCGCGGCAAATTGGGCTTGTCGCCCCCGAACGCGGGTATGGAAAAGCGACGCAATTTATTTTTATTGCTGGCACCACCCGGCGCCGTATTCGTTGCCACAATCTGTGAGTGTATTAAGCTAATCAGCAAACTGAGCGCACAGGGTATGAGGAGTGCGCAGAGCAAGTCGGCATTCTCCTCGACATTCTGCTGCTGCTGCTGCTCTTGCTGCTTATCGACTGCAGCAGCAGCAGCAGCCGCAGCCGCATCGGCGTCTACTGTCGTCGTTGCGTTCGTTTCCTGTACATAGACCAGCGGCACCAGCCGATTGCTGTGCATAATGTATACAGCCCAATTGATCCATTGCGTGATGTACAGGCAGAGTAGGAAGCCGAAGGCATTCGGTGTCGTCTGCTTGACCCACCATTGTGCATAGAGGGGCAGCAACAGATATCGAAGTATGGCCAAACGAATGACGGTGATTAGGGTTTGTTTCGGCTTTGCTTTGGGAAACGTCGAGCCTGTGGAGAGAAATACATAAATACATATAGAATGGAATATAGTAATTTATATATATATATATGTTGTACCCCGCACTAGATCAACATCAATGAGTTCAGTTTTGAGCTTGGTATTCTTCAAGTTGACGCTATTGAAGCCATCCAGAATGCGCTGCTCGACAGTTTTCTCCCATTCTTGCTTATCATAGGTGCCGATTCGTTTCTGGTACCTGGACGATAAACAAATAAACAAACGAATAACAAATGTGTGTCAAATGCATCTTATGCAATTTGTTGTTCACTTACCCTGCGACAATTTCATCCAATTTCATAGTAATATTGACATAAAAGCCACTAAATTGTCACGCGCCCGACTGAAAAAATAGTTTAAGAAAATAGAGCAAACAAATCATTAAAGATCATTAAACCGACTTGCGCTATAAAATTACAGAAAGCAGATTTAACGGGCCAAGCAATTGAAATTCATCTGTTGGGGTATTTTTGCCACTATTCATAATATTGTATTTTCTTTTTTCACTTAAGCAGCTGCAATTATTGCCGATAAACTGGTTTCTTTGAACCTGCCTTGGTTAGGCGCTTTAGTTAACAAGAAGTAAGTGTGATTAATAATTGATTAGTGGTTTTTCAATGACAGCTGTCTGATAAATAATTAAAGTTATTAGCCATTTGGCTGATTACAATTAAATAATTTGTTTACTTTAATAGCCTAACATTCGATATGCGCAACGGATCGTAAGCAACTGGCAAATTATGATATTATTGATATTGACTTTTTCGAGTCTGAAGTCTTGATTACAGAATTCTCTAGAACTGAAATTTAAGCTTTATTTAATTTGATCATATTTGAAAATAATATTCCATGCGTGCTATTTAGTATAACGAAAATAAAGTAAATAAGGATTAGATTAGATTAGAGATTTACAATTTTTATTTCATTATTAGATTATATCTTCATTCAGCAGAGTCTTTAAAGTAAAAAAGCAACATTTATTCC